CTTTTCATAATTTCTTTTTCACGGTTGATAAGTGACTATCCCTTCTTCGAGAAAATCAAACCTAATTAGTCTCTACTGATTTATATGGAGGTTAGGTTAGAGTTACGACATTCTATGATTATTAGTACTAGGGAAAAACGTGAATCACAAGTATGTAAGATAGCCTTGGCTAGGCAACTCCTCATGAGTTGAAGGCTTAGTTAGTGCAAGTTTATAGACGTAGCAACTAAATAGCCACCAATTTCATGTTGGAGATATCAAGAGGGTTATAAGGTTAACGTTAATCATGCATTTCATATTTACTGGCTAGATGGTTGTTATGATTGTGATTCAAGGTGATTTGATAAGGGCATATGATTGTTAATATTGTGACCCCATATTTATTTTGTTGTTCATGTATGGTGTAAGATGATTTGTACTTGCGTCTGGCCACATGATTATTAGTATTGTGGTCATAAAAACCTTTTGAAAAATTTACAGAATTTATGAAAAGATAGATATTGCCATTTGCATATGTAATTAATTGACATGCATTTGTGTAAATTAGGATTAACCTTAGTTACTAAGTGATTGTACTCACCTTGCATTTTCAATATTACAAGAACTAGCTCATTGAATCAGGATTAGATAAAATGATTAGAGGCATAGGATTATGTGTAAATCCTAGTAGTAGACCTCATAGTATATTAATTATGTCTACTTTGTAGATAATTTGTCAACTAGGATCATATGATTTTTTTTTTACTACTTATACTACTTGTGAAAGATTGATATGTATTTTGTGTCCTGATTTGTATGTTATGCGGTTGTTGTAACACCCTAAAATTTTTTGAAAACAATTAACTCAACCATCATAGAAAAGTGTCTCTTATGATAAACAGATGTCAACTAATTCTATATATATTGAAACAATTTTGTAACTTAAAATACTATCATGGTAGAAACTGATAAAATATAGTTTTATAAAATATTTCACCCTTTAAAATGACTACCATAGTAGAAAAAAATAAGTTAGATAAATAAGTACAATTATAATAAGTAGAAATTTAAAATCCTTAAATTATTATTTCTAAAGTCTAGGATCCCAAGTATTAAAAAAAACAAAATAAGTGTGAAAAGCTCAAAAGATCTCTTTAAATTGAGAATATGATAAATATAATAGAATAAAAAAAATAAAAATAGTTATGTATTTTAAAATCTTATAACTAGTTATCAACCTTTTCAAACAACACAAAGTAATGTTTGATACTATCAATACACATATACAACTATAGTCAAGTTACAGTTACCGAAAACAATTTATATCAATAAATATAATATAAAAAGCATATAATAATTGGCTTAGATTTACACAATACAACATCTCAAATAAATTTTAATTTCTTAGATACCATTAGGCTAAAATTATATATTTCCAACCTTATGCTCCCAACAAGTGTAAATCATAAACCAACAATTAAAATAAATAATTTAATTAATTTTCAAAATAAGTTAATTATATAGCCTCATAATCATACCATTTCAAACCATTCAAAATAAATTAGACATCAAAGTTATAATCATCTAAAGTGTATAAAAAACATACCATTTCTTAAATAGTTTGTAGTAATCCACAACGTATTATGCTGTTTTGCTAAAAAATGATGTTTTTTTTAACTTTTTTACAAATGCTACGATACAAATTAGATTTTCACGCTTTGGTAAAGTTATTTTACTTTGATTTTTAATAAATATGTCTATAGTAGATCGTTTTGAATATGAAAAATTTTAAATTTGGTATTCCGGTTGGAATGACTGTAATTATCTGTGGTTTAGTAAGAATATCTTTACTCGTCATTTTGAAAGATTTTACACGAGCTAATGCAAGGCGGGCATTCAATAGAATTGAGGAGTTGAAAGATGAGGAAGGGACGTGGATTTACGAGACGGAGGAAATTCGACAATTATCCCTTGATTTCTTTTCGAAGTTGTTTGCGGAAGGAGGCTAGAGGCGCAATTGAAGGACAGATGTATCATTCTCGGCTATTAATAAGTCCCTGCTTTGGTCAATGTCACGGGTCGCGGGATTGAAGAGAATGAGGTGCGGGATTGAAGAGAATGAGGTGAAGAAGGCTATCTTTGATATAGGGCCACTTAAATCTCCTGGACCTGATGGCTTAAATGCATTATTTTTTCAGAACCAATGGGAAGTTATTGGCCTTACTGTGATTTTTCTTGGTGCAGGATGTGTTCCATGAGCCCTCATTGATCGGGCTTATCAACGAAACTCTTGTTCTTATTCCGAAGAAATATAACCCTGAGACGTTCCGTGACTTTCATCCGATTAGTTCATGTAATGTTATTTATAAAGCTATTGCTAAAATTATTGCCAACAGGATCAAAGGAGTTCTATCGATAGTGATATCCCCGAAGCAAAGTAGATTTTTACTAGGCAGAATGAGCATAGACAATATTATAGTTGCTCAAGAGGTGGTTCATTACATGCAGAAGATGAGAGGCAAGAAGGGATTCATGGCAATTAAAATAGACCTTAACAAAGCTGGTGATAGGGTTGGTTGGGATTTTGCTACTGGGTGTAGCTAAGAGTGCTGCAGGAGCTTATTAAGATAGTCAGATGCTGCCTTTTGACGTCTAATTGTGAATTTTACAGGAAGGCTACAAAACAGATGCTTCACTCCTTCTTGGGGCTCAAGGCAAGGTGGTTCTATATCCCCTTACTTATTTGTGACTTATATTGAAAAAATCACCCATATGATTCAGGATGAGATTTAGAGAGGAGAATGGAAGCCTATTAAGTCGACAAAGGATGGTCCAGCCCTATCACATTCTTTGCGGATCACCTTATCCTCTTTGCCAAAGCTAGTGTCAACCAAGTGGAGGTAATCAATCGCTGTTTGAATAATTTTTGTGCTGTCCCTGGTCAAAAGGTGAATCTTGCTAAGACTAGAGTTTTTTTTTTTTTTTTGGGCGAATGTCACCCACACGCAAACTTAACAACTAAGTGAATTGTTGGGATTCTCGGAGACAGCTGATCTGGGTAAATACCTAGGAGTTCCCGTACATGATACATCATAGTAGAGTTACGAAGAGTACGTATGGATGCAGAATGGATGAAGTTGAAAGTCGACTGAGTATGTGGAAAGCTAGTAGCTGGTAACCTATCTCTTGCAAGTAGGAATACTTTGGTCAACTCGGTCGTTTCTGTTATCCCACTTTACTGGATGCAGTCTGCTATCCTTCCTGTAACTGTTTGTGAGGAGGTTGAAAAATCTGCCAGAACTTTCTTATGGGGGTCTACTGGAGAAAAGAGGAAGGTCCATCCGATTGCATGGGAGGATGTGTACCGAGAAGAGAAGAAAGGAGGCCTTGGTATTAAAAATTTGCAGGCTCAGAACCAGGCTTTTCTTATGAAGAGAGGATAGGATTTAGTGCAACAAAGGGAAGCTTTGTGGTCTAAAGTCGTGTGAGAAGCAAATATAAATGCGGAGATGACCTTCTTCCGAAGATCGAACGCTTGAGGCTTGGATCACATTTTTGGAGCGAGATAAAACAAACGTGGGATCTGTTGGAATTTGGGTTAGATCATGTCACAACCAGCTATGGGGTGAATGAAGTGAGATGGAGGTTTGAGAAAAACGGCATCTTTTCGATACGATTGGCTTACTCTCTCATCAGAGAGGATGATATAGAGGAGGAAAGTAAATGGAAGAAGCTTTGGAAGTTGTAAATCCCTCAAAGATGCAAGAGCTTCATGTGGTTAGTCCTCCAAGACCGTCTTTTAACCAACAAACAACTAGGCAGAAGGGAACTGTGCACTGATACTGTGTGCACGGAACGTAAGATGGGAGTAGAGAATACTCTCCACATTCTAAGGGATTGCCCGGAAGCCCAAGAGATGCGGAGGAGGAACGTTCAGACTAAGCATGTGAGTAAATTATTTGAGCTGGGATTCTAGGATTGGTGTAGCTGCAATATGAGTTGTAATGTTGAAAGGTACGAAGGGGAATGGAGCTGTTGGTTCTTGGTGGTCTGTTGGCTTTTATGGAAAAGGTGGAACGAGAGAGTTTTTCAGAATTCAATTTCTAACATGGCTGATCTAGTGGCTCATGCCCGAGGGATGGATAGATGTATGACGAAAGTAAATAACCAGCTGGGGAAGATGAAACTGGGGTTGAGAACTCTTGAGCAGGAAGCTGAACTTTTGGGCATGTCTTTTGGGATTCATGTTTGCTTGGGATGGGGGAATAGGTCGGTGCACAGTTTATCGCGATTGCCAAGATCAGAGAGGAGATAGAGTTGTATGAACGGCGGAACGAGCTGTTGGAGATCTGTTCTCTTCTTGAAAGGGAGTGGACTGTTGACTGTGGAGGTGCATCACATCCAACGTGAAAAAAACTATGAAGCGAATTGTGTCGTTAAGATGGTTCTGGGTGCATCTCCAGGATTTCATGTCATCCTTCCTAAGGACCCATCGTGTGAAGCCATTTTAAGGCCACCGTAGGAGGCTTGTTTATTTTGTTTACTTTGTTCTCTAGTTATTTCCCTTTTATCAAAATAAAAAATAAAAAAGAGTAAAACCAATGCTTCAATTAGAGAGAGAACATTAATCACGCCTGATTTTGGTTTAGAAGCAAATGACAACCAACACGAAACAAATATGTCCACAAGTAATACAAGACCTCAATTTCTTGTCTCTCATTTATTATTATTTTTTTAACTTGCAATCAATAGAGGTACTATCTGATGCAAATGATTAAAAATAAAGATGTTTCAGGAAAATTAGCGAACATTTTTTTTTATAAATAATTGACTTAATCAAGTTTTAAAATCAGTAAATTAGTTGTCATTTATCAAGCTCCCAAATTTATGAGGTTGGCAGGAATATTAATTAAAGGCAATATGTTTAGAACCCGGAAAAAAGGAAACTGCCAGCGGACTTGGGGTGATACCACTAATTTATTTTGCTAACAAATCGTCAAAAAGAAACAGATATCATAATGGAAAAGGAACTGAAAAACTGCCGAAGGGCATTTCCCATTAAATATACGACTGTACAACATATTAACATGATGCCAACTTGAAAATATCGTCAAAACCCTGTACTACTCAATTCTAATTCAGGAGACCTGCAACGTAATACCCGTATTCACCAGCCGCCCCTCCCAAAAAGAAAGGAGGAGAAAAGGGGCAAAAAAAAAGGTCAACCAAATCCGAATCCTTCACTTCCTTCATGAATTGCAAGCAGTAACCTCTCTTCCAGATGTTGTTTTGATGGATATTCCGGCAAATCTAACTGATTGAAACTGCGTTAAATAATAATTATCGTTACATATTTCAGTACTCATTATAGCTTCGATCTATTTAATAGAAGAAAAGCGGGAACTTAAGGAGAAACCAAAACTAAAACGTCCATGAAACAATACAGCCATTTCAAAATGATGAGGAAAGTGTACCAAGTATGAGCAGAAGGTAAATGATCAGGGCTTCCATATGCTTTGTGTATCTGAAATTTCTGCGAGCCAGAAATTCCCTGAAGGGCGCTAAACCCTTCCAAAGGCACCTGAAAAATTGAAAGCTAAGATCAGACATTACAGTAATATGTTTCACATTTGCTAACAGTATAGATGAAACAAAATCATGTGCCCTGGTTAGATTATGATCTCTACGGCTTTAAGAAACGGTTAAAGCTCATACTGAGGGCAGAATATTCTAAGGGGATAAAACTCAATCAGCATACTCAATAAATTACACTCTCATTCCTCACATTTCTCAAGTCACCATAATTTTGACGAAAAGAAAATTCCAGAATTTCACAAAAACACCACACTTTACAACCTCACTCTCCTAAACTAGATTGAACTGTAAGACACGGCACTGTTGAATGTAGGGAGCATTTCATTGGCTTCAAATTATGTTTCAACCAAATTGATATTAGGATTAAAGATGAGAACAAGGGGGTCCAAAAGAAGGGGTTTTTTTTTTTCTTTTTTAAACACAATCACCCATTATTCATGGGCCGAGCCAGGTAGGACCACATTGGTAGCAAAACTCACCCAACAAGTACTTAATACAACTGCATACTCAAGAGTCTAACTCGAGAATAATGGTTAAGCTAGCAACTAGATAACATTGAACCCATAGAGAGACAGAGAGAAAACCATAGAAAAAATTATAAGCTAACATAACGGTTCAAAAATGTATTGAAGCAGTTTACCTTGGATGTGCCTGTCACAAACTGCAATAATCGTGCCTTGTCTTCTTTGCTGAAATTATGGACAACCTCCCAAAACCATTGGATGATAGGTGATGCAACACTGTATCCAGAATATTCTGTATTTGCTCTCAAGTCATCCACTGAAAGATTGATGCAGAAATTGTTTTAATTAACATCTCATGCAACTCTAAGACTTGAAAAGATGTAGAGCACAAAGCAAGTACTCATCAATTAATTCCATGCAAAAAATATATATAAGATAAAGACTAACAATCAATATCAGGGAGGCCGCTGATCAATAATTCCAGCTCCTTGTCATTGAATATAGATATCAGGTCCCTCGGAATTAATTCATTGAATCCTTCCAAGAAAGCATTTATTTGAGGTCGAATAGCAGTTGTCAACCGATGCTCAGCAACCAAATCAACATATTGATGCTTATTCTCTTCTGTGACTTTAATATTCCGCCCGCCAAGAATCAATTCATAATCAGTCACCTAGACAAGTTCACCACATTTAGAGTAGGGAAAAAACAATCTAATAAACTGTCACAATAAGTAGCAAAGCAGTCATTACTTCTGTTCGTTCATATAATATGAGCTTTTCTTCATCTGCATCAATGCTAAAAGTGAGATCCAAAACATCACTGATATCATTCTGCAAGACAACAGAGAATGTTGTAGTAATCAATACATGGAAGAGTGAAGAGAGCGCATAAAGAAAGGAGAGAGAAAATGCAAAGCTGCACATGCCTCAAGCATCCATTTCAAATTTTTGAAGTAGCCAGGATCAATGGCTTCAATATCGTGGTATGTAACTTTGACTCCCAATATGTGCTTGTAGAATGATCTAGTAAAATGGACATCCAACAGCTGGCCATCAAATAACGCTTTCCCAACCTGCACAAGGTAGGAAGGTGAATAAAAAAAGCTTCTATGATCGAGCCTAAATGATATGAGCAGTTAAAGTGGGACTCACCACTCTACCAACAAATTTGAAATAAGAAAGGTGTTCTGTTTGGTAAACAGAGTTAGGGTTTGGCTGAAACGTTGATTCATTACCCACTGTTGTAAAAAGTAGTGCTCCTTTGTCAAAAATAACTCTGGACAACAACTGATACCATTCCCGTGTAAGCCCACCTGCGTCAATACCTTCCTCCCCTTGAAAGTGAACAGTCAATCGTCCCTTCAAATCATGGGTTGATCTCAAACGTAGCTGGTTGTAAGAATCTTCTAGAATATAGGCCCTTCTTACTGATATTCTCAAGGGACTGTGGTGATGGTCATGCTGATGCTTTATCTTTGATCTGAAGTGGGCTCGCTTGTTATCAAAATCAATAAATCTTGGAACCTTCAGCATTAGGGAGAAAGACTTCTCAAGCAAGCCAGGATTTTGTCTGATGAAAGCATTTAGTAGCTTCCTATGCTTCTCTGAAAACTTGACAAAAGCAGCATTTTTCTCATCTACCTTTCCAGCAAGTCCAGATGTTTTCTGCTGCGTAGCAGATGTGCCAGCCTCTTCAACATCAGAAAAGGCAGGAATAGCTGAGTCATGAATAGCCCCTGGATGTGCAGGATGCAGCTTCTCACTGACCACGAAGAAAGATTCTATATATGGCAAGATATTTTGAGAGCCAGCTGGAAGTGGAGACATCGCACCAGAAGGTTTAGACACATAAGTTCTAGAAGGCATGAAAATATCAGAGGCAGACTCTGAGTAGGATTCAATCTTGCTTATGCAACTGCTCAGCTCATGCCACAAAGGCTCTAAAGCTGTATTGATTTCCCAAACTTCAGAAAGGGCAGAAAGATCGATTTTGTCACCCTCCCTCTCAGTCAGTGAGGTGACAAGGGAACTTAAAGCCTGCAGAACTCTCAATATTGCAGCCCCGTCAGAAGAAGATGTACTAAGAAGGGCTTCCATTGCTTCACTGAAGACACGTAATTCATTCATTGCAGATGAAGTCAACTTTTGAACTTCTTCCACCAGCTCAGTGACAAAAAGCTGACAATGATTAGAAGCATTGGCAACTAATTTCTTCATCACCTCTGCCACAAGAGCATACGCATTGTCTGACAAACTGAGAAGTAGACATAAAACTTCAGATCAAACTACATCATTACTCATATAAAAATTCATTTATACAATGCCCTTACTGAACCAATCTAATCTAATAGTGTGTGATATGAATAATGATATTGCTCACAACAACCAGGAAACACCAACAAGACTGGCGATAAAATAAAAGGAAAATGATAGATAAATAAATAAATAAATGCTACATCAACACTGCCCAAGAATCAAACCACTAGTGCTGAAATGTAGACGGATAGGAATGTTAGTATAAAACCCTGGAAAACAGGTGGCCGATCCCCAGTGGTTTTGTCACTCCCACACCTACCCTGTAGTTAGCTAAACTAAGCCCATTGACAAAATACATATAGCAGAATAAGCATAATCAACAACCATAAGCCCATAACCATACCCTTCTTGTGCAAGCAATGAGCACAAAAGCCGTAGTTCTGCCTGTGGCAGATTGCTTAATACTCTCAGACTCTCATATTCCTTATCAGTACCAGAGGCTGTGGCTTTGGATGACTCAACAACTTTCACAGATGCATCAACATGAGAAGACATGATGTTGGAGTCCGCATGCACATCAGTATCCATTGCAGAAATTTGTGGTCCCGATGGTAGCTCAGAAGTAGGAACTTGGGGTTTCTCATATGAAGTAGATTTACTTCCAGCACTATCAATGATGACTTCCAGAAGATTTAGCAGCTTGAAAACATAAAAAGAACGTGTTAAATCATGTCCACACAGCACAGCCAGCAGGAATAAAAGATTAAAATGGTGCTGAAATAGTCACGCAAAAATAACTGATTACCTGTTCAAGATGCGCTATGCTCCTCAGATAAAGGGGCTGGTTCAATAGACTCAAAAGCATTGCAATGGAGATATATTCTTCTTCTTCAACAATTGCCACAGACTTACCACGTGTATCAGTATCTGGCTCTTTTAATACACAATGAGGCAGCTTAAACTGAAGCATAATTTTTGCTACATGTGGATGATTTCTAGCAAGATATGTGAGAGTCTCAAGCACACGCCGGGAGAGCAATGGAGGAACTCCTACATAATCAAAAAATTTAAATCATTTCATAAACCTGCCTCACCAAAAAGACGCACCAAATAATATAAATGATCACTCTAGGGTAAATAGAATTAAAACAATAGAATCCTTCCAAGTACAGTCCCTTAATTTTGTTTGCTTGGGACAATTCAAATCTATGAACACTGATTTAAATATGACAAGTTACGTCAACGAATAACAGAGTCATTGTCACTAAGGATGAGGTATGATCTGTTGTTTATCCAACATTAAGTGTCACACTCAAACCACTAGGGACAGACCCCCCACCCCACTCCACATACTCCCTCTGTTTTCATCTGTAGGAGAAACTACCACTTTTAGTTTATTTTTTTATATAAGCAAAATCACATTTTTCAATAAGCATTTATTGCAAACTTCCTAAATTACCCCTCATAATTTTATCATTCATAGTCATAATAGACAATTAATGAAGGCTTGACTAACACAAGTAATGAAGAGTATTGTAGTCCCATTCTTTTATTTATAGATACAATTAATATAGTTAACCAATTTTCTTAAACCGTGTGATACAATTTTCTATCCTACAAATAGAAACAGAGGGAGTACTATCAAATGACTCCCCCCCCCCAAAAAAAAAAAAGGAAGGAAGGAAGGAATTCACCCCCTAACAATTAACATTTGGCAAAAGGACAAAATGCCTACCAGTAGAAGCCACTAAGATCACAAGTCAACTCATGAGTTACTATAATTCATTTATATTTTGACAAATTATAACAGGCCAAATTAAATCAAATAATTATTCTTTTATCTTCTCAATGCATATATGTTCTCTCATTATTTAAACACTTTTTTTTTTATACTCTCTCTACATACTTGGACTATGTTATTTAGAGAGGATAAATGATATGACATTCTAAGCATATGCAACAACTTCTCTTACTTTTCTTACTTTTTATTATTTGTAATATTGATCTTTCTTTTTTAACTAAATCCATTTCATAATATTTTATGAATAATATATAAATAATATATGCATAAAAAATATTTTTTATTTTCCCTAGAACTTTTAAAAATGAAACTTGCCTTCAATTCACATAAACGATTAATAATATACTCGCTACCCTTATTCTCCCGTTTTAAAATCTATTAATTTTTTTATTTTATAATTACACTTTCTAGTTTCTACTCATTGTAAAATCACATTTTATAATAAACAAAAACTGATTTTGCTGCCACACGAAAAAAGATGTTTTCTCCATTTTAATTAGTATATCCTTTGCATAGAATTAAGAGATAATAATATAGCAAAATTTTAAGATTCTATGAAAATTTTATCGAAATGAAAGTCCAAACAAATGATGATGATCAATTATTAAAAAAAAAATGTTCATATATAATAATTTTTTATATATATATATATATATTTGATAGATATAATATAATGTATCATTATTTTTAAATTTTTTATAAAATTTATTATTACACTGATGATTTAATAAATAATTAAAAAAAAATTTAATTATTAAATAATCAATAATTACATTATAATTTTTGCTATGCTGCCCCCTTAAGATTTTTTCTGGTTCTGTCCCTGTGCGCCACAACCCATCATCATGAACAACTTTTGCACTATATGATCAGTAACGTATCACTTCACAATCTAAAATTGTGGTCAACTAAGTATTGAACACAATGTCGGAAAACCTGCATTTCCTATCACCAGGGCTAATCAAGTGGTCTTACCATCAAATGATTGAGGGCGTGAATACACAACATTGCTCTGACAACCATAAAGTCTGTATTGTGGCTCAGCTGCACTAAAACAACTAGCAGGCTTTCTTACATCAAGCATTAGCAAGTCCATTAGAAATTTCACCAGAGCAGTTCTGGTTTCACTATGGGCACAGAGATTTAACAGAAGCCTCTGCAATTGACCTTTATAAAGCGGCTGCAAAATATTTAGAACAAAACAATAAGAAATAAAAAGGCACATGTTCAAACACTGCTGCTTGTCATAAATTGATACCTGAATTACGCGGAATAGTCGAATCATGGCATGCAAAGCTTCAGTATCAACTAAAGGTGCTCCATCAGCTTCAACTAGCTTAGCTCCATCTGACCTACGGGTAGAAAAGCTTCCCCCAGCCACATCCAATCCAGAAGCAACACTTTCACCACGCCTAGAAGTCTCAGCTCTACGACCTCTGGGGTACATACCAAAGAGGGTTCGGCTGTATCGGTGCGCAACCCTCTCCCTCAACATATTAGCCTCAGCAACAAGCGCAGGAGTAAGGTTGGCCAGGATAGCATCAGATGAAGTTAAAAGAACCTGAAGAAAAAAGAAGAATGTTCATCCAAACTTCAGAACCACAAACTTCAGCATAACTGACGTCTACCAATGAACTTACCTCTTCTCTTAAATCTGAAGGAAATGTCGCAATTATGGAGACTGCATCCATTTCAACAGGCTGTCCTTCCAATTCTTGAGACTGATGTAACCTCTGCGCTTGCTGTTGTGCTAGAACTTCAGCTCGAATATCTGGGGGAAGAGCTGCAAGGAACTCTGGATCAATATCCCCAGTGTTCTGAGATTCATTATTTGATGGTTGAGCCACTTGACCATGCTGAGCGGAAAGGACTTCAGCACGCAACTCCTCAGGAAGAGCATCTAAAAAGGCAGGATCAATAGCTCCTGACCCAGCATCACTGTTCAACTGCTGCTCTGCCGCTGGACCATCCTGATCTGCATCCCGGCTTGAATTTTCAGAAACTTCTGTAACACTATGAAGAGATGCATCTCTCCCACTAGCAGGAGATGAATGACCAACAATCACATTTGCCCTTCTAGTCCGTGCAGCCTGAGAATCACTCGATGGCATCCTATCTACAGAAACCTGCCTTTCTCCACCGTCCTCATGGCCATCAGCACTTCCAATTTCGACATCCAAGCTTCTCAGGCTTTCTCCAAAAGTTGCTCCACTGCCACTGCTCTCTTGGCTCACAGCTTCAACGTCCCGCGCAGCTGTTTCAATATGCTCAAACTGCATCTCAACTGCATTTGATGGAGTACTTGCTTCATCTGCTTGTACAGACTGTGTAGCTACAGGTCCCATTCCAGCATTGATAGAGTTATCAACTGCACCAGGAGCCACTGCAACAACTCCCTGACTAGCATCGATTTCCACAGTGATTTCTGTCCTTGCAGCTCCTAAATCTTGAGTCTGGCTGATCTCCCCTTTATTCTGAGGGTCTGCTTCTGCTATGCTTTGATCAGATGGCTTCTGAGGCATGGGTCGCCTTAATTGAGAGAGAAGGAGCTCCTCAAGACCTTGTGGGACAACACCAGTGTTTGATCCACCACTTTGTTGATTATTATCAACCCACAAGTTTAGACGATTTCCATGGCGCCCACTCCTAAGTGATCGGAAGATATTATCCAAACCCATTGAGTAGTTATCTGATAAATTATCTGGATTTTTTATTTCAGAAATAACGGTCATTCAGAGTCACTTAAAAAGTTTACAAGAAATAGGAATGACAATTTTTTTTTCCAGAGTAAAGCAGTAACTACAAGTAAAAAATAAAAAGTTCTTTACAAACTGACCTGATTGCCCAGTAAGATGGAATGAAGATAAAGGTCCCACTAGAAGTGGATGACGAGAAGGAGAAGCTGTATCACCAGTTCTTCCCAAAAGACTGTAAATAGATGTGGTTCGCCCTGGACGTCTAGATCCGAAAACTTCAACTGGCATCACGTGAAGACCTTCATTCGAAAAAGTATTATCTCTGCCAAATACCTCAATATGGTCAAAAACATTTATTCCATTAATTCCTTCCTCAAGTCGTAGTATCACTCCATCCTCATCATCCTCGTCATCCTCATCATCTTCCTCCATCACTTCATCATCAAAATCATCATCGTCATCAATCTCATGATCATCTTGATCTGTGTCAGGATGTGGCAAGTGATGGACTTCGTCTTCTTCCAAATCATTGTTTTCCTCATCATCATCCCCATCATCTCCAGACATCTCATCCTCTTCATCATCATTGTCATCAAGATTTTCTTGGCCATGTGGCTGGACTTGAATTCTTATCCCAACATTTTCAATGCCATTTTCAAGACCTCTAGCATTCTCCGACGTTTCATGCATGTAATCATCCTCATTGGCACGAGCAAAACTCCTATCAAGATCTTGATCATGTTCCATATCATCAGTGACAGCTTCAGACCCACCATAGGGTTGAACTGCATCATAAGACCCAATATGGTCAGCTGGAAGGGAATCAAGATTGGCCTGAGATGTCATTTCCATGGACTGGGGCATGCCACTGGTATTTTCTAATCTTCCAGATTGACCGAGATCTAAAGGCTTTGTTGAATTATCACCCTTCCCAGCATTAGACTCAATTGAATGGACATGCTCCTTGGATACCAGCTCAAGGGCTTTCACAATACCAGCAGCAGCTTTAGATGAGCCAGTATGGTCCAGATCTAGAACTTGGAGAGTGCGAGTGATTGATTTAACCAGACCAGAATCCACAAAAGTGGCAGAGGCCTCTGATGAGATGCATGAGCCAGAAGGAGTACGAGCAGCCAAAACATCATTAAGCAGATCAACAAAAACCTGAATGTTATTGCCTGGTGGCTTAACACCACTACATGAACCAACAAAATCATTCAGGATATGATTAATCTCAACAAACACCCTTCTCCTTGTCTCTGTGGAACGAACACAGGCAGCCACCAAAAACTGGTTAGCCCTGGTTGCTAGTTTCTGCCACCAATCACCCTCATTTTTCTTGTCTTTTTTGCAGCTTCGAGAATGAGGAAGAAAATTATGAAGAATATGGTAGAATATTCCACCCATGTATAAACCAGCAGCACTCTTCTGTTGACTGCCCCTAGCACTGTTCATTTCTGCATTTCGCCGGAGCAGAACATGAATAGATGATGAGTACAACAACAATATCTCTGTAAGAAGCTTCAATATAAATACAATCTTTGCAAGTGATGCAGACGCATCTTGGCCACTGGTTTCACTCTCTTCAGACACAGGGGCAACTGCTTTTCCTTTTCCCTTAAATGAAATATCAATATCCATATTACTTGATGTTGGAGTCCCGGAAAGAACATTTGAGGCTATGCCATCCTTCAAAGGAGGAACAAAAGTGCATATAGATTCAAGGAGAAGTTCTATAACATTTGTAAAACTATGAGCTGGTTTCCTATGAGTTTTAACACTCTTCGAATTAGAATCATGAGTCTTGCCATGAACACCGGCAGAAGCTGCTGAATTGGTATTCCCCAAACCAACCTTCCCATCATTAATTGTTATTTTTTCTTTTTCCAACAGTTTATCCTTCTCTTTTTCTTTCTCCTTACTCTTGTCTTTATCACGATCTCTCAATAGGACAATGTAAGGCCTTTCACCTACCATCTCAACTTGACATACAGACTGAGCAGCTTGCATGAAAATCACAGGATCTCGAGAAATAACGGACGTTAAATTTATCAAGAAATTGCGAGGATTGACCCTTCCATTTGGATGCCGATTAGAGGCAATTATAAGGCTATGCTTTATCTCAGATTCCATCGCTTGCTGGAGCGTTTGAGGATCTTCAAGGACATGACGGATAATACTAGCAGCAACATTGTCAAACCCAGGGAACAGACTGCTGTTGGGTAAAGAAAGCAGCATACTTAAACCACCCGCATCAAGAAAGCTAAGAGCAACAGAATGATTCCTTGTAAGATTGGAACATAATAGAAAAACAGCATGCATTGTGTCTGAGGGAAGTTGATTCTTCATACAACTACAAGCAATTTCAACAAGTCTCTTCTGGTCATCTATGTCTGCATACTTCGAAGATAATCCCAAAGCAGACCGCAACTTGTTTTGCCTGTCCTCATCAATGGTAATTGATGTCTGCCGACCATTCAGAGATTCATTCTTCAGCTGCTCTGCAATTTCAGAATTCAATTTTTGGTCCACTTGAAGCAATCTGTCTAATGCAAGAAAAGCAGCAGTAACCCATTTTGGCACTTGCTGTTTTTCCCGGATATCAAGACTAGAATTCCATTGGTAGAGTAAATCTGAGGCAATCCTGATCAAGCCACTCTTTGAAGCATCTTCCCTTGCAACAGAATCCTCATTAAGAACTAAAGCAAGAACGTGAAAAAGAGCAGCCAGCATGGAATTATTCCCATTACTAGAAACCAAACCACATTCTTTGATTTGGTTGACCATAAAAGAAACAACAGTAGACCTATATTGACCGCCATCTTGAGAGCACAACATTACAAGCAAGTCTCGAACAGGAAAAGCAAGAGGTTCCTTAAGCAGAAGTTTTGTGCATGTACATAACAACTCCTCAACAGATGGAAGTTGCACTATCTCTTCCTCAAGTTGCTGAGCATTGTCATTTGCAGCAGCATCCTTTGTGTCTGATTCAGAGTTCCCTAGGGACATGGCAAGTGCCCGGGCAAGTTCATCATCTTCTTGCGCTTCCTCTGGATGGGAGAATAACCACTCCATTGCCAACTCCACACTATTTGACCCAACCTGTCTCAGAGCTTCTTCTGCTCTAGACCTTGAAAACCCCATCTCTACAATGGTTGAAATAGTTGCTTCATTAGGAGGAGGCCCTGTTATTCGAGCACCACTGCTGTTGCTAACATTTTTTACTTCCACACCAGAATAGACATGCCTTATGATAGAGATAATAGCAGAAATGAATTCACAACTGGAATCAACTAACTGGGCATGTGTCCAAACAGGAAGCACAGCCTTCAACACCATGGACTGGAGGACCTTCACAAAAGTCTCTGCATCCTTTGGGAACGGAGTATCTCCAATTATAAGGGGCTGTGCAAGCATGTGCTTCGTGAAAGAAGACAATATAAAAGAGGAGGTTACCAAATGGTCCATAAACTTGCCATAACTAGCTAAAGGACCATAAATCCATGAATGATCTGTATCTTCCTTATCCTCTTGCTTCACATTCCCATCATCAGTGTCCATAGGTGATGCAGGAGCCCTATTGACTGCAAAGAGCAACTGACTGGTAGCTTCAAATGTGGTCACTACAGATTGAACAACTCCATGTCCATATAGGCAATTCAGCAGAACAGGATTGCATGAATCGGGCCTCTCCATCAGAATGCTATCCAAAAAATCAATCACCTTACCGAAATAACGACACTTTGTTGATATAGATGCCCCCATTCCTGAATGATTTACATGACCCCCAAAGTTCATGTGCTCTAGAGCAACTAATGCAAGAACAGAAGCCACAGTTTTTGAAGCAGGACTTACACTTGCAATATCGTCACGTCGACGAGAAGGTAGAAGCATTACTTTTCCCAACTCTTGAAACAAATGGGTGACATGGAATGAAAGTGATCTGACCATATCACAGCAAGATGTATAATACGGCCTCTGTTTATCATATTCCTTCTTATTACTAGCCTCAGAAGCATCAGCAGACCCAGAAGTGTGCAGCTGATTACTAGAGCCTACCTGAGTGTTTGGAGAGCCAGCTGAATTCGATCTGTGTTGAGAACCAGTTGCGCGGCCAAGATCTCGATACAGATTTATAAGGTCAAAAAACTGGGATTCAATGCTCCACCCCGATGTTCTTCTCCTCAGTAATGGATCAAGAAACTGCCTGAAAGAGTTGAACCTTTGCTCTTCAGTTTCATTTGCATCTACTTCACCCTGTTTTGAATCAACAGCAGAACAAGATCCATCATCTTCAATCTCAAGCTTCGTATCTTCAAGCAAAGCAATTTGCCAAAGAATTTCACGATGGACATGCCCAATGTCCTGCAAAACATCCTTACAGCCATTTCCAAATTCTGTAAGCAATGCAGTTACCCAACGGTTGTCTTTTGAAGCTGCAAGAAACAGAAGGAACTCAACCAGGGAAAGTGAAGAAAAGATGCCACTATCAGTTGTCAACTTTGGATCCAGTAGTAGATGTCCTGAAGCTTTGCCAAGACCAGCTAATGCTTTTTTTAAATGCTCCCTAAGAAAGGAACAGAATGCCTGTGCCAGAGGTGTTGAATGATGTTGAGCAAAACCCTTAAAAACCATAGTGCTATGCAAAGCAATAGACATGCCATCTGAGGATTGTGCAATAGTTGGGCGCAATAACAACTTCAGTAAAGCTTCAATTCCCAATTTCTCAACAAATAACCTGCATGTTTCAGAATTTTCCATAGTCCTGTGAATTAGTACCATTAAATGAAAGATGCAAAGCCTAACAAACTGCTCATCACTTATCCCTTCTGCAACTGAATCTGATATCCCTGCAAAGCAGCTATCACCTTCATTTTCTTTTTCTTCAGGATCAGTTTCCATTGCAGAACCCTCATTAGCTTTTCCTGAAGATTCTAAACCATCACCACCCTCAAACGATGCAATCTTATGGGTGATTTCAATCATAATATCAACACCAGTACTTCTCAGATTAGACACATGGCGTAGAAGTTCCTCCACTGCATTAGCAAGAGGAACAATAGCTTCATTTATTGCAAAAACATACTTTTTGCTAGTGAAGATGTCAACAAGGAACCGCAACGATGAATTTTCTCTGACAGCCTCTAAGCCTGTGGAATTAAGACAAATGGCACCAAGACCATTTGGAATACATGTCAAAGCCTTAGAAGAAGGAAGTACTCCAGATGCAACAGAAGATAGAAATGTATCAGGAAGACCCATTTCATGGAGTGTAGAAAAACACGTAGGATCTTTATGGATTATGTCACTCATAACAGTAACAGCAGAATGATAAATGTCACCTCCAAACTTATCTACATTCCTAAATATCAAAGCCAGTGTTGCAGGTAAAGAGCCGTCACAAGAATGCTGGGATCTAGTAGAATTTGCTGGGGCATAAGTTGCAGAGCCAAGTGCCTTGAGTGAGACCTTTATGAGCCTCATCTGGGAATATAATTGATCAGTACTATGTCTTGAGCTTTCATTGCTGAGCATTAAGTTATCATGTCCTCCAGCCAACCCAATAACTCTATTTACCTCAACCTGTAATCTCTGAGCTAAAAGCTCAACACCCCCCAACTCTTTAAACAAGGATACTGCCGAGCTACTGTAATCCATAAGCTTTTGGAGGGTTTTAACAGCAAAACAAACAAGATGTATATGTGCTAGATCACCATCCTCCAGTAGAGGCAAAAATGTGGGTACCATGCCAGAACCCCTAATGTTACTCCCAGAAGTTGAAGTTGAAACCACATGGAGCAGATAAAACTGAAGAAGTGCCTCAACAAATGCTAGAGATGATGGATCATTTGAACTCTTCAGTGACAAAATTGCCCTCTGGAGAACATTCAGAAGTATCATACGGTTCCCACCAGCAAAACTTATACTAGAACCACTCAGTATACGAGCCCGTTCATGGGATGATGTGTATGCTGCTAACTGAGCTCCTAACGCAAGCATTGCAAGTGTTCTAATAGACCCAGATATGGTTTCCTCAGATCTGACAATTCTGATTAACTCATTTGTATATTCTGGTTCATTAGCAAAGAAAGAAACAAGTTCATCTTGTGCATCACTAGACTGGACCAGCACAATGAATGCAAGAAGGCAAATTCTGCTATAAAGCCTGCATATTCTAGGGGACCGGTAGGCTCTTGCATACCTAATTCTGGTGAGCAATGAAAATCGGAGCTCTGGAGGAACACTAAATTGCTCAATGCACTGCTTCAACAATGATAAATCATCTTTCTGCAAATGCAAATCTGGGATATGTATAACTTTCAAACTATGGGAAGCTGTATCAACCCCAGGTCCTTTCATTGGAACACCGGAGCCATGCAATTCAAAATAAAGGGTAGAACCAATGCGGATATTGGATTGATCACAACCACTCTCTACATCAGAAGGAAATAAGCACAACCCTTCATCTTGAGTTTTTTCATTTGCCATAACACAAGAGTACAGTCCCAGGCCCTCCTCTTTGCTTCCCCATCCTTGCGCTAGGGACAGGAGATAGCTATTCACTAAGCCACAACCAACCAGCTTTGCACTTCCATGAAGCTTGGAGGGATTTATTTTTACAAGCACTGAAAGAGTTTCTAATGTGGCCATAACAACCTCAGGATCTGTTGACGCTAGTAAAAACTTGAAATGCTGAAAAGAAGGAAAAAATGTAAAGGGAAAAAAAAATCAAATATTCCAGTAGCAATTCACTTGACTATACAATGAAGGAAAAAAAAAAAAAAAAAAAAACCCAAGAATAACGCATTATTTATGACCAACTCACCTCTAAGCCATCAAATGAAGTCTTGTTAGGACAATTCTCTAAAATTACTTGCATCACTCGTAATATTTGCAGAATCGCATGTTTTGGTAATGGGCTGTCATCTTCTAGAATCTTATCTGACAATGTCAGGTCATTTCTACAAGATATATACGTCTTGAAGTAAGTATCAAAATGAAGAAACAGCGGCCTCCAATGATGAAAATTCCCCTGGAGTTATGGCAATATATAAGTCAAGGGGGGAAACAGTAAATGAAACCCGTTGCAACAATGTTACCTGTTACCATGTTATTACCTTATTGTACTCCCATCGAAAGCCAGAGAGAGGTATTGCTATATCTGGTAATGGACACTGGATGACCTTGTCAATGAAGAATTTGATCTTAGGAGGCTGAAAGTATGATAATGACCAAATTTAGTAATGCTACATCAGCTGGGAAGTGCGAGAGAGGAAATGAATTAATGAAAAAAATATGATGATAGTACTTGAACCATACATATGAATATACATAATTTGGGTTATTTAGTTGAAGCAACTTTCGCAATATAAATATTTTTGACTATATTATTCAATTATGAGAGAGTAATATCAATAAATTCTTTACAAAATATAGCCGCCTAAAAAAATTCAATATAAATTATCAATTTAATTCAATGTAATATTAGTTTGCCCGGAGACAGACACACATATATCCAATATCAAGCCAAACTCAAGTGATTTGTTTTGCCATAAATTTTCCCCTGTTTCCTATGTCATCAAAAGGCAAGAGGTGCAAAAAATGCACTCATCTGTCTGTGAGTCAAGGCACTAAAATTAGAAAAGGAGGAAAAGGACAGGTAATATATAGAGAGAGAAAAAGTAGGCAAGTTTTAATTATTGAAACATTTAATTATCATTATCATTCCTATTAATTGTTCAAACATAAAATTCAAATAGGATAGTAAACTTTCAAGATAAAGCGTGGTAATGATTCCAAAAGCATTCAATTTCACCGAAAAAAAATTATATGGCTGTATTTTGCACTAAAGTTCAGATAAGAACCATTGTATGCATCTATATAGTGTAGAATCGTCATTTACATATATATAAAAACTGAACCTGAATATGCAGGGGGTGAGTTCTATCTTATTCTCATAGTTAAATAATTTTTAATTTCAGGGAGCACACTTTCTATTTGATTGAAGTGTCCATTTCCCATTAAATTATAGTTTGAACGTGCACATTAGAAATTTGGTAGATTAAACTTAAGAGGTGCAAAAATCAGTTATGATCACCAGGCAAGCTGCTCAGAGCCTCAAACCTTCCTCCTAGGTCCTCTCTCTAAATATATTGCCTTTGTTTTGACTCCGTATGATGTAGGGCTTAGAGTAGAAATTAAATGGAGAGGATCAAGTGAAAATAAATCCAAAACTCCATTTGCACATTTTGATGCAGAATTAGAGAATGGTAAAAATAAGAATCAAAAGACACGCTTCACCTGAGTTATAAACAAGTAAAGGCTCCTTATGTCGCGTTGCTTCAGCACCTTAGTTGTGCCTTTTAGTAACTTTAACTAGACTAATCAGTAAATATATTGAATTCTAGAAGTCCATGGACCATTGTCCTTGACGCAGGTCAATTCCTAAAAAATCTCAATCTCTAGCCTGTACTTCGACTCCAATGATTTGTTTCGCACATATAAATGAAAAATATTGTCAAAAAGGAAAAGAGAAAATTGACAAAATAATCAGACAATACATTGCGTAGTTGGCGACACAAAATGAACCTCAGAACAGAGTATATAACTTCCGAAGGGTAATTTCAATGTCGATGATGCACTTGCTCACGTTCTACTAATGCGAAGAAATAAGTGGTGAGCAAAACCTTAATGGATTTGATCACTAGTCAGAGATGATCGTCTTAAACCCTATTCGATAATATTATAAAATCGTATAGTATACTAGCAAGTGATGAAACAACGATTAAAGGGGGAAAAACTTACGGGTTCAGAGTCCAGTTTAACCGAGGGGCCAATGGCCCCCTCGTTAGACAAAAGTTGCCGCAGCCTCGACGGCCAGCTCGATCTTAGGGTTGTCATCTCACCTCAACTTCTCTACTTTGAACTGTTTTCCAGAGAAAGTATCAATAAATATCAGGGGAACGGCCGGGGGGGAAAAACAGAGAGGTTAATCATTGATCAAATGAAACTGATACCCAAAGCTCCAAAATTGACAAAGATTAGACCCAATTCAGAAACTTGTTTTCAGGGAAATATACCAGAGAGTAAGCCATACTTATTGCACGTATGTGCGTATTACTATTGTTATAAGCATGTCTATACTGGGAATGAAAATAGGAACCTGAGAGGTGACAGAGAAAGGGATTGATGCAGACACATCAGAGGCGCAGAGAGAATGGGAAGCCGGGGGGGGGGGGGGAAGAGAGAGAGGCGAAGCGAAACCCCAAATAGAAGCGAAACAGAGGAGAGAGGAGGTGGGATTGAGAATTGCCGTGCGACTCAGTATATTTTTTTACAAAATTTGGCCCTCTCTGGAAGAGCAAAGGGCTTGGGTATTGAGAACTGGTGCAGAGCTTCCTCACCGCCGGCTCGAGGAAGGCGGTTTACCTTTGCTACCCCGCAGTTTTTAGGATATTCCACTAAGTCGCTGGTTTGTTGCATGGGATAATTATTCTCCTTCTTTTTGTGGCTAGAGACATGCTCCAGCCCCATTTTTGGTGCAAGGTCAAAAAAAAAAGAAGAATCTCCTTTTGGTGCTTTGATAGCAAAATTCTTCCAACTATGCTAACTTATTCCACAAATAAAATTTGTTATATTGTGATCACAACTCAATTTGCTGAGCATATATGTAACAACAACAAAAAAGATTGTGTAGGGAGGTTGAGACTAAGTTGACTATTTATTTAGTGTTTAGTCTTTATACGTTAAAGTAGGTACATACGAAATTGGATTTCATCCAATCCCATGGAAAAATTAAAAAATAATAACATGAAATATTATATGTATTTTTTTGTTTTATATGGTTATTTAACTAAGTCAAACTCAAACACTGTCAGACTCAATTGAAATAAAAAATAATATATGTATCTTATTTGTTAATAAAAATAGAATTACATTCATCTAAAGTATATGTTTTTGAAAAATTAATATTAATAATTCTCATTAAAAAAAGTGTCAACATTTAGTATTTGATTATACTTCAGATAAGATTGCCTCAAATAAAATGAAACCTACGGGTAAAAAAAAAACAAGAAGAAGAAGAAGAAGGAAAACTTGTATTAATCATACTAATACCAAAAGTGACACTTATAAAATTACAAATACTCAATATTTGTGCATTAATTTTACATAATACTAGGATAAGAGGCTAGTTTAAAATTTTAAATAAAAATTAAAATTGAATTCAAGAAAATTTCATGATGAACAAAAATAAAATAAAGTGTATATAGATATTCATCTTATCACTCCAGTCGAGTTTGTCCACAAAACTCGACGAGCGACTAAAGTTCATCTTTCTATACAACTCAACATATTAGGTAGGGGTGAGCATCGGTCGGTTCAGTTCGGTTCGGTCTCAAAATAAGCAGAACCAATCGATCGAATAACACTAAAAATGAAAACCGAATCGAACCAAACAAGGACCGAACCGAAATTTGATAATTCGATTCGGTCGGTTAATTCAATTTTTCAATTTGGGCCTATTTTTTAAATATTAAAACAAACAACACTATAAAATTTTCTATTCGTTTTTTTCAATATGAGCTCATTCTAATTATATCAATATGACATAAAGCCCAAATATTATAAAGGCATGGATAATCAAATAAACAACCATAAATAAACACCGATGATTAAATAATAGCCTCATAATCTAGTCACAATACCTACTGATGAGAATAACTGATTGAAATGGGGTTTCAAGTAATGTTATTATTTTTTATTCTTTATTAAAATAAAAAATAAAAATAAAAATAAAATAATTTATAAATTAAATATAATTATAAATTAATAAATTATATGTAATTCGGTCGGTTCGGTCTATTCAATTTTAAATTTTATTAACCGAATCGAACCGATCAACCGAAATATTTAAAATAAAAAAACCGAATCAAACTAAAAAATCAAATAGACCGAATCAAATAGACAAAATTCGATTCGATTCGGTTCGATTTTCGTTTTGGTTCGGTTTTGCTCACCCCTAATATTAGGCATGTCTTGAGTTATCACTTAGTAAAGCAAACTTTAATTGATGCAAATATATATGGGTTGTGTAACATTCTGAAAAATTTAACCTCTAATTAGTTGAATAATGAGGATTAATTAAGTAAATTAATGTGATGTATGGTTATAGAGAGCTAACGAATGTTTAAGATTATCATTTCAACCTTAAGATTGACTCTGAAGTGAAGTTAAGCTACCCAAGCGTCAATAAGTAAGAAAAACAAAGAAAAATGGCTCCGTACCACATGCCGCAGCACATGCATGAGAAGCCGCAATGCACCAGCTAGTCAGAGCACGAAAACCTGTCTTTGTACCCCATGCCACTACGCATAGGGACATGCGCCACGACGCATAGTGCAAATTTTGCAAAATTAAGTCACAAAAACAAATAGAAGACATATAGGAAACAAAGGATACATGGAGGAGATGTGAGGAGCTCTACTAAAGCTTGAAAGATTGAAGCATTGAAAGTATTTTGAAACTTCTAAACATTAAAGATGAGTTTGCTAAGCTTGAATCTCTCTTTCTCTTCCATTCTTCTTGATGATGGAAGTTAGAGTTTGGTTGAAAAAGATGATTTTCAATCCATAGAGACTATGGGTTTAAATTCATTGACTCAAATAGAGTCAATGGGAGTTGATTAAGCTATTTAAATCTAGCACTTATGACTCCATGTGCTTTTGGTTGGTTATCGTCATAAATGTTTAAAAATCCACCATTAATGAGGTGGTTGCAGTAATGTAGCTCTATTAATAGTCATTCAGAAGTTCAATGAAGTTAATGGAAGTTAGAGAAAGTTAAGAAATCCTATGGGTATTTTTGTATGTGAAGGGTATGAATCTTAAGGGTGAAGAAGTGTTGATCTAGATAGTGAAAATTAAATAAAAAGGGATATTAATGAATTATACTATGACTATTTGTAAAATAATTACATTTGGCACCATTCAAGCTTCATTGAAGCTTTGAAAGTGTGAAATTGAGAGGCAAACTTTTGATTTCTCAAAAGGTTTGAGGTAATCGAGGAAATTTTTTTTTCTACTTTTGTGTGTTAATTAGTTTATTGAGTTATATTCGATGATTTAAATGTGTGAAATTAAATGAAATGCAAGTATGAGATAACTTACTTGAAAATCTACTATGATGATCTTGTAAAGTTCAATGATGTGTTTTTCATTTAAAGTTCAATAATGTGATTCACAAATGGAATTCAATGATTATTGTGGCATGAGTAGTTCAATGACTTGAAAAATGAAGAGTTCAATGAATTAGTATTTTATGGAGTTCTATGATATGTTGTTAGTGAGGTTAAATGAATGTATAGAAAAGGAGTTCGATAAGATAAGTAAAGTGGAGTTCAATGATTTGATTTTGTGAGTTAATTTGTATGTAAGATTAGTACAATGATGATGTCATACATGCTTGAACATTAAGTACTTGCATGCCTTGAAATGTTGCATTTTTATGTGTTGCATAGTCTTAAAAGACAAGAGTTCGCCTAGGGAGGCGAGTAGGAAACAAAATCCACGTGGTAAGGCTTCCATTTGAGCTCTATGGTTAGTCTGGATTTATTATTCATATTTTTCCACTTGTTCAATGAGAGACTATCCCACTAGTTCAATGAAATATTCAAACCTAACTAGTTTTTTACTTGTTCAATGAGAAAGCTAGTATAGGAAAAATGACACCTCAGAGTATGAGAAAAGGGGAAAACCATAACCTATAAGTAAGTTGGGCAACTTTAGATAGGTAACCTCTTACACGTGTTTGGCTAGGGTAGTCTCTCGGTGTATAGATGATCCAAATGCGTCATAGCCCATGGTTTTGTGTTAGAAGCATAAGAAGGATATAAGGAAGATGTAATCATACATATAGTGATAAAAGGGTATATGGTTATCTGTATTGTAACCTTAGTGAAACAAATCTTATGATTAGTCCTATTTTTATATGTATTATTAAATCATTATCTCATGAGCATGTGTTATTATGAATGAGAATTTTGAATTATGCTCTTGAACATGTTAAATGATTTGAAATTGAATATCCTTACCACTTGCATTGAAATTGATTAACATGCATTAGTATAAGTTAGATGAACCTTTGGTTAATAAGTGATTGTATTCACCCTATTACCTTCAATGTTACAGGAACTAGTTTATAGGGACTCGAACGAGGAATAGAATAAGGCTTAGGACTTTGATCCTAATAATTAGTAGGCCTCATTTATTTTCATTATTGTTATGTGTGTAACCAAGATACTGAAGTCAGGGGTTCAACTAAGGTCAAACTGGAATCAAACTAGTCATAATAAAATAAAATAATATAAATGAAAGGACATTAATTCTTTTTTTTTACCTTTAAAAGAACATTAATTCGTAAAACATTCATCTATATCAATGTTTCTGAAACTATTTCACTCATTATTAATATTAATTTATCTAAAAATTAATTTTGCCCCTTATTTTTGTCATTTTCAAATTTGCAATTAAAAATACATATAAATATTTGGTAAAAATAAGTAAATGTATTATTTAAATTGAATATATAAAATGCAATACAATACTTTGTTTCTTAGCCCAATGTCCTGGTTGCTAAAAAAAAAGTAGGTTCTATGGTTATTTTTCTTCCCAAAAATGTTAAAATGTTTATTCCTCGTGGAAGTCTATTAGTTATTGAATTATAAATATATCTTGTGGTGTGTACAATACATCTACCATTCAATATATAATTTTTTATTATATTTTTCCAACCATCTCTCATTTGATTTGACATCAAATTTCTCTTTTTAGTTTTTCAATCATCGTGATCCATACCTTGCTTTGGTCTTCTATTTCCCTTAGTCCTAGCACTTTCATCTTCTTCTTTCCTCCTACTATTCTTTCTAGTTCATGGCTAGCAAATGAAGAGTGTTGTCAAAGGTCGAGGATGAGACCCACAGACCCATAGAGATCATAGACGAGAATGCTATCGGAAAAGCCAAGAAGGTCAAAGCTTGAAAAGAGAGCTCATTGCTCAGGGACAACGAATGAGAGCTAGTCAAGGACGAGAGGCAAGACCAAGAAGCGGTTACATGAACACAAGGAGAGGATTCGATAATTTAGCTATTGAGAGGTTTTTGCATTTTTTAAAAGCAACCCGCCCAACCTACTTGACATAGGTGAGTTAATCTAGGTTAACCAGTGCCATTTCAAAACACAAAACCGAACTGGACACATAGTCAAGTCACCGGTTCACCGATTCAACTAGCCAATCGGATTCAATTTTGCAAACCATATGTATAACTTAAATGATATTACCAACTAGGGTTGTCCATATTTTTGGGCTTACTTGCATCAAGAGATTGTTAAATTATATTGTGTATTTTAGGCCTTAGGATATACATGTACTGATTAAGAAATTCATTACAAGGCCAAAATACTAAAACAAATAGGAAGTTAGTAAGATTGTGATTATTGTGGATTGATATAATGATTTATGAATTTAAGGCTCCCCTTTTTGTTTTTGTAATTAAAAGGTTAAGTATTGAAAATGTGTTTTACAAGTTATATTTGTAATGTGGTATATTGCATAGGTCTGTGTTAGTCTTTTGAGTGTGGTGTAAGGTGCGAGTTTGGCTTTTGGCACTTGCCATATGATTTAGGCACCTAAATTGTGTATCAAGATTGTAAATAAGTGAGTTTTTAAAATGGGTATCTAAATTTTAATTGAAAAATGCTATGATTGTGAAATTAGTGCCATTAGTTAGAGTTAGGAAAAAATTCTTTGTGGACACCTATACCACCTCATTTGGACATCGAATGAAGAAATGGAGAGTGTCAGAAGTTCACCCTTAATGCTATTAAATGACAACAGCGGTGCTGTTACATATGTGCATGCTTCACGACGCATGATACAAAGGCTTTTATACCACAGTACATGTATTATAAGTCATGATGCACCTATGTTTTTCTGCACAATTTTTCTTGTTTTCATATTTTGCGATCCCATGCTTCTACATACATCTAATTACTCTAATTTTAATTGGTAAAGGTTTAGTGGATATTTTGAATTTTGAAAAACTTAGGATTCATATTTGGAAAATCTGACAAATTTGATAATTACTTTAATAATTGAAGATTAAGGTGGATTAGTAAAGGTAACCTTACTTGTCTAACTTGGAGATTTTACAAGTTGGTATTATTAACTAATTAATATGTTAATAAAAATATAAAATTTATGGAAGAAATAGGGGAGAATGACATGTAGTTCTTGACATAACCAATTAATTTAAATTAAGTTCCAAGTATCAAACTTTAATAATTTACAAATTTATCTTTTAATTTTATAATTTTATTGTGATGAATTTACAATTTATTTTTTAAATTTTAACATAGTTGAAGAATAAATAAATTTATTTTTTTTGTTAAAATTTAGAACATAAGTTAAAAATTCATCACAACGAAATAGCAAAACTAAAAGCTGAACTTGTAAATTCCTAGAGTGTGATACTTGGGACCTAATTTGAAGACCTCTATATTATTCTCCTAACAAATAAGCTATTAATAACGCAATTAATTTTATATTTTGTGCAATATATGAGAAAGCACGTGTCAATTGCACATTAATGAGCATTTCAAGCAGAGCATCCATCCTCCTTAGAGCTTCCCTATATTTGTGGTGTATCTGGATTCCCCAATTTTCAACAAGAGAGCTTGCATGTTCTGAATTTCTTCAAAATGAGGTTCAACGCTTCAATCGATTCCATATATAATCTAGTATCCCAAGCTTGATGGCCATCAACTCAACTTCTGTGATTAGTAGTACATAGCCAAGACTCTTTTCGAAACCCAACAACCAGTTTCCATTTGAGCCTCTCATGGTACTGGCACACACTGCATGGTTTTGAATATCCCCAGATGCATCAACATCAATTCTCGTAGCACTTTCAGGAGGGGCTGACCAGCAGGAATTGACTCTACGATTCATTGCTGCACTGTTTCAAATCTGATACGCTATTATCACAAAGCAAACAGTCAGCCCAAACCAATCTTTGAATTGCTTTTTCCTGCTCAAATTAGACAGAGTTGATCAGGTCCAGCCAAGTTGCAAATTTGGTTTCACACTCCTATCGATGATAATGGAATATGCCTTCAATTTTCTGGTTTTGTCTGGTGCTCTTTCTTCCTCTGCCATTAGTTTCATGCCATCAAAACATACTTAAAAAGTGGTAAGCTCTCTCTGCTCGGTAAACATCCCTGCATGCAATTCTTGTTTTGTTGGAAAGTCACCAGTAAGGTAAGAGAAAGAAGGATTCTCATCCACTAGAACAGTAGAGCTTGTCAATTAGGACATTCGTAGGTCAATGATCAAGTCTTTGAAATATGGTGGCAAGAAAACGGGAAAAAAATAGAGTATATATTTTCCTTTCCTATGCTCAATTTTACCCTCCCTTCCTAATTCCTAACTTTCATCTTCAGCATCCGCCTCTTTTCACAATTCAGCGTCGAGCGTCACCTTTTGCAGAACCACAATGGAGCTAACTCTCAATGATGTAATGAAAAACAATCTGCTGAGAAGAGTAAAGAAAAAAAAAAAAAAGGCCAATCAGACGGCATTCCAATTCTCATTAATGATCACTTTATAGCTAGTGTCTGAGGATAGTTATATTCTCAACCGCCAAGTCCTGCTAAGATAAACGGATTCATTTACCGATGCCATGGAGCAAATTACAATAGAAAAGTGTCTTCAGCGAATACTCACGGATCACTTTCAATCAGTATAACATGAAATGCCTAAAGATGTCAAGATTGATGGCTTTTAAATCTACAACTTTTTTATAATTTGCCCTTTCAATAATTTATAGCATTGGTCACTTTCCTTGCCTCCGTTCCCATTCTACCAGCAAATAGCAATTTTTCTTCGTTGATAATGTAGAAGACGTTGGACATGTTATTATTGTGATAGCAACTTCGAGTCACATGCCACTATTTTTAGCCTTCTGATGTTCTCTTCGCATTCGTCACTCTTGAAAAAAGCATCATGCAAAATGAAGGTCCAAACATTGTCGCAGAATCTGTACGTATGTAGATGTCCCTGTGATTAAATAGAAACTGAAAACAGTTCAATTCTCACAATGCTTACATAAAGGTAATAATAGTATTAATGGAGATGAGGAGACATATATTCATAACTTACATAACTTACGAAGACATTAGCTGCATACGAAATTATGAATAAATAAAAAGCATAACAAAATTATACAAGTAGAATTTCAGCTAAGGCAACCATACACAATGAAATTTAGGGGGAAGGAGTGAATGATGTGTTAGATGATTCAAATCACAAAGTACTTTAAGAATAGCTGCAGCTGAACAAACTAGAACATTAAATGTGGACCAGCAATTAGTTCAATTAAATTTATTTTGACATTAAAATGGTGGGGGGCAAATTATGATGAAACCATAAATCTGTAGTGTTTTTTGGTCACAGCTACTGCAAGGCAGGCAGTCAACAATAATAGGGTCAAGAAAGAATTGAATGGCAAATTCAAATGATAGTGTTCCAACTTCCAATTGCTTTTAACCGAGGACTCATATGGTCAACCCAAAACATTAAGATTAAGATTAAAAGCTATAAAAATGTGCCTTTAACCAACATAATTGACAATCACAACATCAGACCAAGAAAATAAAAGTTCTAATATGAACTCCCTTCCTATCTATCTAGATTGGAAAGACCAGAATAATATTTAACTACAAGATAAATAATTCTCATGCAGATAGAAGGCTAGAAAGGTCTTCAGCACTCATTGCTTCATATTTTGGCCATCTATGCAACTTATCTTTCCTATTAGTAATTTCCTTATCTATGATAAGATAGCAAGTGAAACGGAGAATGAAAGAGGTATACAGAAGCTATTGAGAGTTGAAACAATGGATCTTCACCATTATCAAAGTTTTTCTTCTTTACAAAAGTAAAAATCAGAAAATAATATAGAGTTCTACTCTGACTTTTTTATTCAATGTTAGGTTCAAAAGGGAAACAAAAGGAATAAAATCAACTCGAGATGGAAAAAGTCAGAAAATCTGGGAACTATTTCTAGTTTGTTTCCATCTCTCCTATGCCTTGCAAGCTTCAATCTGAAGATTTCAATTTTGTAAGCCAAATTTTATCCCTTCTACCTATGCAGCTTGCTCAAGAGCACAGAAACACCCTCTTCATCCAATAGCATCTCCACAAAGGAAAAGGAGTGAAGTTATGAATATGCTCAAAACTTCAATCTTAAAAGCATAAGCATGGCAATTTTTAAGTTGTCCTGTGCCAGGTCCATATTGGCTATCAATACTTTTTTTAAGTACTCCAAAATATGTAACTTTATTATTGTGAAATTTTAGTGTTAGATGATATTTAGTACAAATTGGGTACCCCAACCTCTAGATAAACCTCTATCTCTGAATTTTAGTGACTTAAAATAAAACCATACTTGAGAAAAATTATGAAGCCCGTCAATAATACATCGAGTTGCGTACACAACTCCAACATTATATAGGATTAAACCGGATTAATTTTAAGTCATAGAAGTTTAAACCATAAGGGAAAACTAAATAACTATTTTGGCTGATTATTTATGTTAGAATGTTCATTGTCAATTTGTCAAAAATTAGTAAACAGCCACCGGAAGACAATTGGATGCACCAAACAAAGAATCTCCAAAAAAATGGAGAAGGAATTTAAATTGGAAAAAGAGGGAGAGAGGACAATTTCTGTCAGGGTGCAGAAAACTATCAACAAAACCTCCCTCAAATATCAGACTCAATTGACTGTACACTTCCAATTTTAATTGGCAACGACGGGGCTGATTATCGTGCAACGTGCTCATATCCAGGCCTCAAAATAATTTTACGAAGTACGCTACTCACAACAAAGAATGGGAAGAAACGCCATTACCTTAATGGAGACCTTACTCTTGACTTGCGTTTCCAGAGCTTCATGCATAGACTAGCAATTGGCATACCGTGAGATCAATAGTCATGTCAGACCAACAAAATATAAGTTTATAGATGACTCGTGGATGAAAGTGAGGAAGATTGACAACCAAAGCTATCCCCGTAATAAAAATACCTTGTCGAACTGGACGAGAACCTGAATAGCAAGCTCGGGGCTGAGAGTACCGTTCTGAACCATCTCGTCAAGCGTCTCGGTTAGACACATTCCGATCGTCGACCTTCTGTACAGTTCGAATGTTGCCATTTTCGCACGCTAAACACGATCTGCATCAATAACAAATACTGAATAGATCAGATTACAATTCCCATACAGATACTATAAACAGAATACGAAGAAACTCGTATCCAAAATTGGGGGGACTGAAGTAAATTTCGAAGAAGCAATTTAACACGTAGGAGATAGACGAATAACGAAGGACTGCGATCAGAAATCGTATTACGAATCGAGTGGCAGCGTATGAACTATGAAGCAGCCGTCTCCTCTGCTTTTGTGCTGCTTATTCCGGGTTAAACGTTTGGTCGTCTAACGAGGCCGAAGCGGAGCGAAGAAACTTAGGGCTTTTATACCCTAGAATTTGGAGCGTGGGGTATATATAGTGGGAGGTCGACAACACATGTAATGACTATTATATCCTCGCGTAATGGTTAGTATTGTTGTGTTATTTTTAAATTGATTTTTTACAACTTAAAAATTTGTAATTGAGTCTTTATAATTTAAGTAATTGTAATTTCAATTTATTTATTATTATTATTTTTAACAATGTGCATTACATGCAAGTTAATTCTTTTTGGTCAACTGTGCAAGAAGAAATACTTAGATAGATCAAGTGTGCCATATTCATTTATAATCTGTCTACTTAAAATGCTTCAAGTAATTTAAATAAAATTTTATGAGATATTTTTTAATTAATTTTATTATTATAACAGAATGCACATTTGATTTATTATCTTTTATTTCTCTACTATTACTAATATCAAAATTAATTTATATTTAATATCATTTAAATGTCATATTTTTATTAGACAGACTATAAATAATATGGTACACCCAGTCTCTCTAAAAATTTCTCATATGCAAGTAAATTTTATTTCAACATTTACATTTTCATTGCTTTTATTATCATGAATCAGACATATTTTAAATATTAAAATAATTATTATTATCTATGTTCATACAATTTAATAAATAATTGCAGAAATTTCAAAATAAATTGAATATATTTTAAATATTGATAGATTGAATTAATTTTTGTAAGTGATACAAATGAAATTGGATGTGATAAGAAAATAAAAATTAAAAAAACTGTATTTTCTCCATTAAAGAATGTAAGATATTTTGTAGGGGTTCGATATTTAAAAGCATAAGGTATTTTAATATTTTAAAATGTAATCATTACAGTTTTTTTAGAAGTATCCTTGATGAAAAAATCACTTTATATTTATTTTAAAATGAAACACCTCATTAAGTAGAGGTAAATATGGAAAGATAGTGTTAGTGTGAATAATAATTACTTTATTAAAGGGTAAGATTCAGTTAAAAATATCTTATACTCCCTTCATTAAAAAATATGAGGCATATTTAATCAAATTTCACCCCTCAATAAAATAATTACCTACTTTTAAATTAACTCTATCTTTTCATATTTATCTCTATTAAATACTTTATAATAAATATAAAGTCATTATTAATAGGGACACTTCTTAAAAAAAGACAATGATTATACCTCAAAAAATTAAAAATATTTTACATTTTTTAACATTCAACTCCACAAAAAATGCCTTATATTTTTTAAAAAAATTAATCTTTTAGTCCTCCAACTTTTAAGTCACTTGTAATTCAGTTTCTCAACTATAACTCGCTGTAACTCAGTCCCTCAACTATGACTCGCTTATGACTCAATCCCTCAACTTTTGAATCACTTACAAATTAGTCCCTTAACTTTTGTTAATTTTTTTTATATTAGCTTATATCTCACATCAATGAGAAAGAGGAGAGTATTTTAAAATAATATATGAGCATTTTTTTATTCCTTTTATTTAATAAAAAATTTTAAAAAAAATTAAAAAATATGGACCAAGTTATAAGTGAATTAAAAGTTGAGGGACTGAATCGCAACGAGTCATAGTTGAGAGATTGAGTTACAAGTAAATTAAAAGTTAAAGAATTAAAAGATTAATTTTTTTTTATTTTTTAACAGAGGGAGTAATTTTGATTGGAGGGAGTATATATCATCATCGAAGGATATATTTTCATCAAGATCAATGTATATAATATAGTTTTCTTGGCCAAGAAAATATATATGTGCGCACGTGCGGGGCAAATAAGAATAATAAATGTGCAATTGTTCATGTGTTTGTTCTTTTATGAGAATATTTTCTTGCGTTTGTAAATGTAATTATGCGTAGATATAACTAATTCTCAACTCCTTATACAATCATACAATGCATTAGGCCACATCCATTTGTCTTAGTTCTAAAACAAAGGGCATAGCTTTATCTTGAATGAACATAGATTCTGCTAATTGGGTAATGATGAGAATGCAATGTAACAAACATAAATACCTGTCTAAACATATTGGTGGTTAACTAAGCATGTCTAATTAAGATTCAAAGTGTGAATATGTTTGAAGTTTAGTTCTTTTATCATGTATTAAGTTTACGTGGACAGTTTTGAAAGTCGGTAATATTTAGGGGCAGGTTATACTTTTTTCGGTTTTTTTTTCCCCATTGAAGAGTGGACTTCTCAAACTTTTCAAAAGATCATAGTTCACATTTTTTAAGGCTTAGAAAATATACTGTAAATTTCAAAAAATTAGACCTAAAAACCATCACACTGGGTGGTACAAGCTATTTCCACCATTACCAAAGAGATTCTGGTCGCAGCAAAATGTTGAAAAAACTTATAAAAGAGGTAAAAAGAAAAATCATTACAAGTAAAAAATAGAGGGAACTCAGCAGCATGTAAATACAGGTTAATTTGAAGCTTTTGAATGGATCTCAAGTATATTAAAAAGCCCTGGCATGAGAATGTAGTGTGAAAACTCTCGCTTGTCATAATCAGTGACCAATATGTTTAGTGGTAAGTTACCAGAATTATAATTCTTCATTTAATTTACTTGTGATTATTTTAACTACATATGCACGGGATTAATGTAAACAATCCTTTGTGAGATGTGATCTTCAAAACTTGATGATGTTGGCGTATTATGGACCGTCTTAAATTGTGTATCTCGTGATTGTATGTTGGCTACTCATGCCTCGATAGAAAAAGGTCAAATATTTTCTTAGTTGTTCTATCCAACAAATATAAAATATAGCCAAGATCACGGCAATGAGGTGTTCAGACACAGTAGCAAAATATATCTTATCCAAAAAAAGTAGCATAATACTAGCATATCTCAGCAGACTTCTGTTGCAGACGAATAAATTATGAATATTTAAAGCCGATTTACATTTTAACACGTATCCCCTCAACTTCTAATTCACATCACTTTGCTCAGTCTTCTTCTGGAAAAACAGAGATCCTAACAAGAATGCAATGCTAGTGATTGCTATTGTGAAAAGAAGACGTCTTCTTGAGAAGTTGTTCCGCTGCCCTCTTCTAGCACCATCCTCTCTTTCAGCTGCCCTCACGTCTCTAAACAATAGAAGCATATGGTTCAATGATACAGAAGGGAGAAACACCTCTATGAACATGAAAAAGGATATCTACTTAAGTTAATATACCCCAACATACAAAGACCTTCGAGGTAGTAACTTAGACGGTAGTCATATGTGTAAAAAGATTTAAATATATCGCAACAGGCAAAATTTTACTCGTAAAGTTACGGTAGGAAATGACCTTCAAGAAATTTAGATGTCCTCATACATGATACAATTATGGAACAAATAAATTATATGACACATTAAAGGTAATTCATTGTCAATACTTCTTGTAGGTTTGTATACGAAAATAATGACTAGATTACAAGGATGGTTATATTAATAACCCATCTTCAGTCAATACAAGCTCAGATTGTCAGAAAGCAACACAATTCCTTCTGCAACAAGCCCAAACCCCCAAATGTGAAACATTTCTTTACTCCTCTACTATAGATGCATGTCTTAGCACTCGGACAAATTTAAAAATAACAACAGCAGCAATAAGCAATTGCACTATTAATATGAAATGACTCTATCCAGCTTAAAGGCAAAAAGTTTGTGTAGTGAACAGAACTTCAACAGCGTGAGCGTTTTCTATATGCATGCAACGGAAGACCATTTAAAAAAAGGGAAAGGGGGGGCTTGCAAGCGAAAACCCCTAGATGAGAATACGTGAGCAGTAGCAAATCCAAAGACATAAGAAAAAATTGCATCATTCAATACCTGAAAAATAGCCAGAAGAAGATAATAGAAAATGAAAAGGAAGATATAACCGAGAGGTTTCCTATAAATATAAATTATGAGTTGTGACTATGATGCACTCTAATAAGACCGTTACCTTGAAGATCCTACAGTAGCAGTATGATCTGGGATTCCATTGCAGCTAGCTTCATGGTAGTATCTTTCACGTAGTCTGACATATTTGTTACAAAGGTGACAGAGTTCTGTTCGATTCCCACAGACTTCCTGAAGGATAAAAACGTCATGCTGAAATAAGAGCTATAGTGCATGCAAAAATAGGGTGTTCCTAATTCAGAAGTCCTTGATAAAACTACCTGATGCTCAGCCAGATCAATTGCTGGCAATGGGAACTCACAGAATTCACAAGTACTATTCTTTGAGGGCAATTTTCACCTTTATGGACATCTAAAGTGTCACGGTCCATTGTCTCACTGCACATTGAACAGGCTACCTGCATAAAGTTCGATAAGACAGCAATAAGTGAATTGACTATCTAAATTTAAGAACTCTGATTTCATGCTGAGAGGCCTTAGTGAGCTCCCATTCCTTGCTCTTATTCCCCACCCTCCAAACATATCTACAAAATTGTCTGGTCTCTAGATTTTTAAATTAGCCCTTACCAAAAAAGCATAGTCTAATAGATATCAAATTTTTCGATTTCTTTATCATCCCATGCCTTAGCCCTTCCCATAAAACCTCAGATAGACACCTCCATTAGCCCTTGCCATAAAATCTTAGATATTAAAATTTTGCTCTTCCAGACCAGAGGTTCCTGGTTCAGCCACTGTCACCGACCACAAGAGGATAATTTCAAGGGAGAATTACATTAAAGTTTCACACAAGAAAATTAATTACTATAAAATCCATTGACAACTGATTATGTTATCAATGACTTTAATTCAATTGTTAATGGATCTTATAGTGATTAATTTCTTTATGTGAGACCTAGATGTAATTCTCCCTAATTTTAACTATTAACCAAATACCTTCCAACACACTTATGTTTCCCTGCAGAGCGCCAGTGAAAACTAAAGGCCATAAAACTGAGTACCAACACCAAAATGTGAAACCCAAACCTATGGACCAAAGAAAAAAATTCATTAACCAAGCTGCAAAGAAACACAAAGAAATTTAACGACTTCTCCCAC